GTCGGATATGTCGGACTATGTGACCGAATAGAATGTGTAAAATTGCCTGTAGCAGCCCAGTTGTGTTGCCTTACTCTTGGCTTGCCTGTCCGTGTGTATAGTGAGTGACTACGGAGCTTAGCCTCTAGTAGCCCAACCTAGTTTTGACCTTTTGTATATTGCGTAATATTGCAATTGATGCGTATCGTGTCCCTTAAAGTATTCGCGTGTGATATTAAAGTGGTTATTTCTGTTGACAGGAAGTTCCCATTTTTCTCGCTTGCCGCCCTACTCCCCTCTTCCTCCTCGCCGTCTCTCTTTGTCTGGCAGGCGTTGGCGGTACTTGGTTCGCAATTTTCGGGGGCTTCGTATGTCGCCTATGACACTCAGCCCGCTCCTCGTCTCGCACCCAATAATTTACTGGGTTTTTCCCTCTACGACCCAAAGTACGTACGCGTCCCTCCATGCTGTGACACGATCGATCACGGCAGGGACTCACCACCATATAGTACGCGCGATGGCAACAAGTAATACGTACAATATAATATCAAGGCTATCGGTTCGAAACAACGTACGATGCCAACTATCTATATACTGTTATTAGTCAGTTACGTACGACATTTAGAAACTCTATAAAGTCCGCAAACTATACGAATATACAGGCGCAATCGCGGAGCTTTACTGCCCACGGCCATATAGAGCGGTACGTGTGTACACACATAGATTAAATACCAGTTATAACATAAGCAAATATGTGACGGAGTTTAGCTCTAGATCCATACACTTTATTCGCGTATGTATATATAAAGCAAGGTGACATCAAGGGGGTTTTAAACAAGAAGTCGGTTAGCAGCGAAACCGCTAATCGTTGATCACAGCCATGGGGAGGGGGTTGCTAATACTCGAAACCGAGCCTCTAATACCAAGTTTTGATGGGATTTCGTTTCTGTTGAACTAGTCATGTACGTAGGTGTACCTGACATTACAAACATTACACTACTCGCTGTTATGAGCGTCATTTTTTGTGCGCGTGAGCATTGTTATTAACGTAACTAAGTTGTTAGGTTCCTATACTCTCTAGTCATACTGGCAAATATTAACATTCTCTCTCCTCTCTCACGCGCGCACTAACTCTCTGTCCCCGCCTCTCTCTCTCTCCCTCTCTCTATCTCTCCTCTCTTTCGCTCCTCGTCTTCCCCCTCTATCTGTTTCCCACGTCTATAGGTAACACTATGTGAACCAAAACTAAAATAAATATATACTTTTTGATGAGGAGGGTGAGAGGGAAGTGGGCACGTGTGGTTACATATTAGTATTCTAAATAAGTGGGCCGTTTATGTCACGCGTGCTCTCAATAACAATCTAAATGCCAAGCACTATAGCTCTCACGTTGGTAACATGTTTTGGTGACCAAGGTTTTTACTGACCTGCTTAGTCGCCCCCCCCCCTCAGCCATGGTGTGCACACATCTGCATGGCTGCGTAGTGTCTACTCAGCCATGATATTGCTTTACTCACGCCTATCTTAAACTTTAAACAACCCTGTCAAAGCCTTCAGACCGGATGATAAGAAGTAAGATATCTTAGCATGAGCTCACGATCCTGTATCGGGCGTAATGCCCCAATGGCGTTTCAAATAGGGAACAAACAGTACCTTGATCGAACAGATTTACACGAGAGCGTGTTCTGTGTTTTCCCAGTCGATATCATGGAGCGGAGATTTACGAATCGCATTCCGGAATCATATCTACTCGTTGGTCGCTAACCAACGGTGAGACGTTACGCCCGCCAAGAGACAAGGCGAGGCAAGGCGCCACGCTGTCGTCTGCAATGTACTTTAAATGCCCAAATTACGATTCCTTGCGTAGAATACCCCCATTAATTCCCACTCCCTGCGGCATGCAACGAATACTTTAATTTAAGATTGGGTATATAAGGACGAAAGTTGCACAGTGAATATATACGCACGTAGACCTACGCACGCGATGACCAAACTCGTTATAGCCGTCACAACGGCTACATTATATATATATATATATATATATATATATTGATTTACGAGTACAAATTTTATCTTGGCCTCTCGATCATCATTCAACATCACAACAATGTCTTGATTAAAAATGTTATCCTTGTATGTCCTATGGCATGTTTCCCATTAATATTTATATCATACATGTTTTTTTTTATTTAAAAATAACTTTTAGTAGGTTATTCGCTATAGCGATTCGTATATTGTTTACATATATTGTATTTACAGGCCCTGTTTGACTCGCACAACTACTACCGCAGAGTAATTTGAATAAATTCGGTCTGTAGTCTAATGTTTTCTAACGTTATCGTAAGACGTCCAGGAACAAACGAAAGAAGGTCATTTGCGATTACTTTCACAGAATCGACAGTAAGCTAGATAATAATTTCGCCTGCTGGTAAAGTCGATTTTACACAAGTCTTGTTGCTACGCCAATGCTGCCACCTTACTACATGTAAATTCAGGACTACTTTATGCACAGATTGCGCGAAGGTAATTGTTAAGACTCATTTTGTTTCTGAAAACGGTGACCTGGATTCGTAGGTGGACGGTGCGCGCGGCACATACTCGGAATCCGGTATTTATTACACACTCACACACACACACACACACACACACACACACACACACACACACACACACACACTCACACACACACACACACACACACACACACACACACACCACACACACACACAGGCGCACACACACAACACACACGCACGCGTTAATAATCCAACATAGAAGAACACCGGCCATTATGGCCGCACAAAGCGTCACCTCCGCTGCACGTACCCACCCATCCATAATGACACGCCGATTGCTGAAAGACATTCCGGCAAAGACGCGATGTAGCGATTGATACTCGGCAGCGGAGGCATTAGGCTTCAGCGCGCAGGACTTGACATCGATGGTGCGCAAACTGTACACGAGTCGAGCCGGGGATATCGCCACTCCATCACCGTGTACATTAGGTAAGGATATGCTCATTTATGATTTGTCGAATTGGTCGTAATCGCTGATTGAATTAGACCTCTTCACATTTTCGGCAACGCCCACGCACGCCACACACACACACACACATACACCACACACACACACACACGACACATGCACGCACGCACGCACGCAACGCACGCACAGCCAGCGGCCACGCACGCAAGCACGCACGCACGCACAACACACACACACACACACCACACACACACACACACACACACACAACACAACACACATACTATAGATATATATAACATATATATCGGCATAAAAAGTATTATATATATATATATATATATATCATGATATATATATAATATATATATATATATATATAATATATAAATGTGTGGTGGGTGGGTGTCCTCGCTGTGCGCTGTGCTTTACTTTGTGTTGTGTGTGTGGTGTGCTGTGTGTGTGTTGTGTAGGTTGTGCGAACCTAGTGATGTGTGAATGGGTGTGCTGTGATGTGTGTGTCGTGTGTAGTGGTGGTGCCGTGTGCGTCGGTGCGTAGGTTGAGTTTGTTGTGTGTGTGTGTGTTGTTGTTGTTGTGTGTGTGTGTGTGTGTGTGTGTGTGTGTGTGTGTGTGTGTGTGTGTGTGTGTGTGTGTGTGTGTGTGTGTGTGTGTGTGTGTGTGTGTGTGTGTGTGTGCCGCCGTTAGTCGCACTGATTGGCCTAGTCAGTCCACCTTTCTTCAGATGCATCAAAGTATCAGTTCGACACAATAAGGCGCTGCTTAGTAATGGCGGCTAGCATTTGCTTATGAAGCATTCAAACATTGATATTTGCGTCAACATATCATGGGCAAAATGCTCGTATGATGTGATATCAAATGGTTCACATTTCACAAGTACGGCTCTCAACGTAGAGACAACTATGGAATTGATAGAAATTTGGGCGATGCGATGCAAGTATCACGTTTTGGGTCTAATTCGCGACACCTAATAACCACAGGGTATTCTCATCACAGTCCCGGACAGCGCAAACCATGCATGTCAGTTCGACAGCGTTCTTACACGCCGGTTATGTTGTCATGGGTTCTATAACGCGCCCCTGCAGTGCGTTAGCACCACGCACGGGTACAGGACGGTAGCACGTGTCTGCCTAAGGCCTACGTTCATGCTCTCTTTTTCCTTCAGATTCCCCCACTCACGTTAATTTAACCAGATGTACGTCGTGCTGGAGGGAATACAGCTCCGCATTCGTCCTATTCTCGCGAAGAGGTTCTGTTGTGGAGCTCAACTGCTATTTTCACCGGACTCTCGCCAATTCTCCTTTTAGAGAGCCCGAAAAACATGAAAGAATTAGCCTCTAATTGGCGTCATGCTCTGCGCGGTTATTCCGTATTGTCATGGTAGTCGCCGTACGCCAACAAGCACGCATACCCTTCTGTCAGATGCCGTCAACGCTCTATCGTGGCACATGCAACTCATAACGCACTTAGCAAGACTTCCGCGGGCGGAAATGTGTGCAGGTCTGTACATAGTGCTGAAACCGATTGACAGGCCTGGTTCAGTGTTAGCTACCGAAATTGATAAAGACGACGGAAATTTTATTGTATGGGATAAAATCAGGAGATTTTATGAAGGAAATCTCCTGATAAAATACGATAAAGTCGCAACGCGTCATATAAAATCGAGATGTCGCCACGGTACAGGCCACAATGAAGCAACATTTATGAAATAGAATCTTTACACACGTAAAAACTACATCGTTAAATTCATAGATATGTGCTGTTTCACGTAGGGGCACTCTAGTGCTTGGCAGAGACATTCTATACGATCTCTTAGAGAACGTGCGTGTTATTAAGAAACAAGTATCGTTGTAGGCGTGTAGGTCATTAATTGCAAGTAGTCTGCCAGATTATCAGCCAGTAAACAAGTATGTTCTAGTGTTATTATTATCGTCGAGCTATTAGAAAACGCCGGTAATACGGAAACGGAAATGCAATCGGAAACAAGTGCTTTGACGAGTACTAATACAATAAACGTTCAATCCGAAGTTCCCAAAGGCTTCAGTTCAATTGTTTCCTTATATGCATCGTCACTGTTTGCAATACCAACGCCAGCTGATAAACTGTCCTTCGACTTTCGCATTTCATCCATAAGTTGTTTGTTAGCCGACATACACAGGTTTCTTCTCTCATCTGCGAGCTGGGTACCGTTGGTTCCAACCTGACCGTCTCCCTGTAGTCGGGGTCGCGTCACGCTGCTGGTGACGTCATGATAGCCAACACTATGGCTCTCGCTCATGTGCGACATCCGCGTTCTCATCGTGCTGCTGCCTCCGCTGTAAAGCTCCTTGCAGTCGCGTCGCCAGACTCGTTGCAGGTTTCGACAGAGGTTGCCGCTGAATGCCATGTAGATCCAGGGATTTGTGCACGAGTTAAGGCTACCCAACAGTGTGAGGATAGTCAGGCCAGTATCTGAAAACAACGTGATAATGTGTAATTGGCATGAGTGTATTACATGTCTAGACCAGTTATATCTATTTACCGTGATACTGCTCGGCTCGAGGCCGAGAAGAAATAGAACTATGCTAAGCATTTTATTTTGAGGATTACAATAACATACGCTTAATTTGTCCATATTAAGTCGAAATCTCGGGCCCAATCGTAAATTGCGTTTTTTTACTTCCACTCATTGATTCATATCCTTGAAAACATAGCACTCGGCCAAAAGTTTTTCTGAAGCAAACTTGACTGGTTTATGCACGTATGTTACGATTTCAAATTTATATCAAATACAGGGCATCATCGCGCATTTATGTCACAGAGTGAGTATTGGGAGGGAAAGTAAACAAAATTGTTCGTTATTTAGCATTCCTAGCTCGTCTTAATTAGAAATGCTTGATCTGTGAAGTAAACTAACATGTAACAAAAATGGCTCGAAAAAAAAAAAAATTGCTATATCCATGTTGCAATAAGATAGTGTTATAATTCCACAATGGAATCGATGTTTAAATCGGACGCTGCAATAGTTAGTCGGTACTCGATGCAATGTGCTTGCTTCTGTTAGCTGCTACAAAAATACACTCACTCACAACGCAGGCGTCGGTGCAGAGTGTTTCGTAGTTCGTTTCTTAACACACATTTCCAGAGTCGTTTTCTATTTATACGACAATATATCGACTATGGTACAAAGACGTGGACAGCCTCTGTACCGATTGATATAATTCCGTGAAAACAATTGTGCGTCTATTTAAGAAAGGAATATTTCAACGGAAACGTTATGCGAATTCTCATCGGGGCTTTGTATTATAATGCCATGATACATTTTTACGGTCCGTCTAGTTGTACAGCCGACAGCCGTATTTACTTTAAAAAATGGAAACAATACGCGCAGTGCACCCAGAAGGTTTAATAGTTATCCCACAAGAATAATAAAAATTCAGCGGAATGAAGACAGTATGAAGTCGAAGTCATGACGCGAAGCTGATAAACCCATTTTCAATCAATCATTCGCAGCTATAAATATTAGCTATATCATATCTCCGATGTTCCATAGCTAGTTCTAGCTTGACTGAATTTACTGCAGAAAAACCGAATCTGATAAGAGGATTACTATATTCGTCGTTATTTATAATCAAAAATTGTCGGACACACGCGAGCAATTAATTCATTGATCGGGTTTGCTTCAAACGTACAATTAGAATTGGCCACGTGCGAGTTTGGCATGATATAAAACCAAAGCGCCGGTGAATTATTACACACACGCACACACGCACACACGCACACGCACGCACACACACGCACAAACGCTCGCAAACGAACACACACACACACACACACAAACACACAAACACACACACACACACACACACACACACACACACACACACACACACACACACACACACATAGGCGAGAGCGAGAGCAGCAGACGTGGTACGTCACAGATACGCGTTGAGTAAAGCTCCCTACGACGCTACGATCGACGCGTTCTGCACAGCCTCGCTAAAAAAATTTGAATTCTATACAAACGCGTGTGGAAGCCCTGTATAGATGCACATAGTTTATTTTCGCGCGCCATCAGACCGGATACAACACAAGGCGATTACAACACAAGCCGTCTGCACCGCCACACACATACACACAGACAGACACGCGCATACACGCACATACGCACGGATGCGCACACGCACACATACACACATACACATACACACACACACACACACACACACACACACACACACACACACACACACACACACACACACACACACACACACACACACACAAACAAACAACAAACATACACACATCAATTAATACGAGGATTTGCTGCGATTTACTTCACAATATGTGCGCTCATTACATTACCATGTTTCCAGCCGCAAAAATTAGCGTTTTCCGTTGCCTAATAGTTCCTACTTAAAACATTGAGTCGATAATTATATACTAAGGCCTTCTTCCTTCTTCTATAATGTTCCCCACCCACCCGTAACCTCTTATCTTTTACTATGATCATGTATTGTTTGAGCCATTTCTTTATCACTGAGTTTGGCCATGAAGAGGAAGTTATTACCAAACAGCACTACCATGCAAAAACATTCCCCTTGTCCGCTAATGTGCGCATGTAAAAAATTTACCGCGTGATGTGCATGTTCGTTAATCAATTTCACTATATTTTACTATAACACATCAAATCAGTTCAGACGACCATTTGCTAAGCTATTGCAGCAAAAGAGTAATTTAGTATTACTGTAAAGTGTATGAAATAAAGATGGCTCGCCCCTTAGCTAATCCAACAAATTTTTAATAAATCACAGTTATATCCATAAAATAAATTATAAATTGAATTACTAGTGTATTTTCTAGCGTTTAAAAACCTTTAAAGCGAGAAATATGCCCATAACACTTAAATAAAATGCCGCAGTGCGAAAATCGCGTTTTAGTTCTCGATTGTAGACTCTCTTATTTAATTTGCGCATCCGATAGCTGCGACACTTTTCTGAAAAAGAATTATAGGGCGGCATATAGAAAATGATGGCGTTGCTAATCAAATGACTTGAAAAACTTAGTCCACTTCAATAATACTTTAATCCGTAACCATTCTCCATTCTTATGTACCTGCCACACATGTAAGGGTAAACATATGCACGAAACCTGAAAAACAACCTTAACGCGGGAAGGCCACGATTTAAGTGGCAAGGGGCACCTTAAGTGAATTTTTCACTGCCAACATATATTTATGTAGCGGCCATTACGCATCTCGCAATAAGCTATTCGCTGCCGACACGTCGGGCAACAGACAGGGCGTATATACGGCTCTACGTCGAGTCAATCCAGCATACATGCAGCGATGAATACCAGCTGCAGTGACATTTGTCGTACATTGGACTCTGTCGGGTTTACTGAGCAGCAATAAATCCTATGGGGTCTGCTGTTGACATACTGCGTCTATGCATGTGCTGACCATTATTCTTCACGGCTTCCGAGGCGGCAGAAATACGTTCCGTAATAAAGAACAGCATTGGGATAGCATTTTGGCGAGACAAAATATCTGGACCGAAGGGCAATGGTCAGCGGTCAGGGACTTCGTGCATGGGCGGCCATGATTGAATACAGCGCTTACACTAACGACCAGACCGATGGACGAACGATTTCAACGTGCACTTCTAACGCCGCGCCGAGAAGGCAAGTATTAACAGAAGGCGTATATCAACAGAGGTTTCAGAAGGTAATCATTATCTCGTTGAGCCTATGTAGTCTTGGCTAAACCTTCGGGGGCTTCATGAGTTAATGCCTCTTAGAAGGCAGCAGTATGCGAGCACAATCACAGTAGCTTCCCCTTTGATAACGGCTTCTCGATTCCTCTGCTTTTTTGTCTCCGGTCGGCTAGCCAGCCGTGCCTGCACCCGCTCTCTCCAATATTTCTGCACGTAAAGCTCTAGGCCATATAGTGGCCCATATGACTATTATATGGGCATGCAGCTATCATCTCCCGCGATATCAGTGAAATAACCAGAGTTGGTGACAATCAAGTCCGCAGCCTTTAGTGAAGAATTTGATGGCCATTTGGGCTACAATAATGGACTTTACTCCGCATCGAGTACGGCGAAACGTGCGGATCAGCTGCAGTGGCCGGCTCTCGCGAGTTCACGCGATATCTGGGAGCGTCCGCTTGCCAGGCAATAAACTTGAGATGTACACACTGCATCGGAACTGACACGTCCATGAGTCACGTGCTCTCTCAACTCACATGCTGCTACTCTGGCCGCGCTCTAGTGTTTTACGCGGCATCGGCTTTTGGCAAGAATTTCTCGATAGGACAGCGTTCGCGTTCCCGTCGGATATGAAATTGAACACGAAATTGTGCAACAGACGGGAATTGCTCCTCGCGAGCTGAAATAATGGAAATGATATTTCTAGTATTAGCTGTGTACAATATCGACTAAAATCTGTTAGAGTGCTGAAGGGCGAAGGCGTGCGACGCGGTAAATATAGCTGTCGTATTTATGGCGCCGTGTAACATCTTTCTATCGATACAGTGACGTAGCTATTCTAGCGATCTTGAGATTGCGTTAATAAGTACATTGTAAACGACGACTATAAAAGTAATAGAACCTCAGGAAATTTAATATATTTATTAGGTTGACAGGTTGTGTGCAAGTATGACGTAGGGTGATAAGGTTTAATTGTATCTTTTAATTCAAATTATATACGTTATTTCCGATTACATGCCATGTTAACTTTGTATACTACTACAATTACTACTGCTACGATGGCAGCCATTTAATTTAGAGCTATAGAATAGATTATGAAGATTATATATAGAGAAAGGGGGGTGGATTGGGAATAGATGGCATGAATGGTATGGCATGCGATCGATGGTCCTGGATGGATTGAATGAATGGATGGATGGATGATGGAATGGATGGATGGATGGATGGCATGGATGGATGGATCATGGAATGATGGATGGATGGATGGATGGTATGGATGGTATGGATGGATGGTAAGGATGGATGATGGATGATGGTTGGAATTGGATGGATGGCATGGATGCGATGGATGGATGGATGGCATGGATGGATGATGGATGGATGGCATGGATGGCGATGCATGATGGATGCATGATGGCATGGATGGATGGATGGATGGATGGATGGATGATGGATGGATTGGGATGGATGGATGGATGGATGGATGGATGGATGGATGGTGCGGATGCGATGGATGGAGGATGGATGGATGGTATGGATGCGAATGGGATGGATTCGCCCGCATGGATGCGATGGCATGGATGGATAGATGGATGGATAAATGAATGATGGATGGATTGGATGGGAATGGATGGGTATGGATAGATGAATGGAAATGGTAGGATGATGGATGGATTGATGAATCGATGGGATGGAATTGGCATGCGCATGGGATGGCCCCGATGAGTGGGGGATGGGATGCTGATGGATCGCCCG